GTGGAAAACTTGGTGATGTCAAAAGACCTGTACAACTCCTCAAAGGCAATCCAACCCGTTCTGCTCCTGTTCTATTCTGCACCCAGATCTGTTTTTGTTCCTGATGCTGAAAACATGAGAAATTGAAATGACAGAATCCTAAAGTCTTAGAAGTTACCTAGTCCAATCCATACCTGACCTAGAATCTCCTCTACCAAATCTCTAAATCTACAATGGTAGACTCTCTACTTACTAAAACAACCCATTCCACTTTTTGATGGAAGAGTGCAAAGATGGAAGGAATCATTCTAATTCATTGGATGATCTTACTAGGTTATAATTATGAGTAACCCTGAATAAAGTGAAATGTAATATGGGTAAATTAAAAAGTTCTCTATTTTGGTTTAGAATTATTAGCTTCATAGGTATGGGATCTTAGAGATGCTACTAGACCACAATAAGTCTGAAAAGATATGAAGGTTTTAGGGGTAGGCAGGTTCAATATGAAACAATAGTATATGTCACAAGCAGCCCAAATAAATGCTATCTTAGGTGGAATTGAGGAATGTAATGCTTATAAAAAGAAAGGTGATGGTTCTATTGTATTCTGCCTTGGTCAGATTATATCTAGAGCTTTGTGCTCAGTTTGGGACATCACTATTTAGAAAAGAATGAGCATGCCCAGAAGAGAGAAGTCAGCTAGTGAGAAGAGATTAAAAAATAATAATAATAAGGGTCATTTAATTCACTACTAACCAATAACCTAGTTATAGATACCCTTGAAATCCATTAGTTTGTCAGTTGAGCACCTTTGAAGAAATGTTTAGCTTGCAGAAGAGATGGGAGGTAAGAGACATGCTGGCTGCCTTCAAGGATGTGAGAGGCTGTCATGTGGAAGAAAGAGTTCACTTGCTTTTTCTTGGCCTCAGGAGGGCAGAACTAAGCTCAAGCAATGGAAAGGCATAGAATGTACTTGGTGGGGAGAGATTGTTTAATAGTCTTTGTCTTTATATCTTCACTGCCTGCTATTATATTATTAACAGATTTTTAATAAGTGGTGGTGATGCATGTTGCAAAGAGGCTGATATAGGCTTAATGTCAGAAAATGTTTTCTAACAGTTTGAGCTATCCACAATTGAAATTGGCTGCCTTATGAGAGGTACAGGGTTCCTTCCACTGGAGGTCTTCAGGAAGAGACTAGATGACCACTTTGGAAATGTATTACAAAGAGTGTTTTTTTTTCTTTTTTATCATACTGAGATCCCTTGGAACTATAGGATTCTGTGATTCCTTTGAATTCTAAGAATTCGGTAACCATCCTAATCACCTACCTCTTGTCTATTCTATTGCTCCGCCTCATGATGTTCGGATGTCTACTTTTGCTTCACTGACCACTTTATGAACAAAGAAAAAGAAAAAGAAAAAGAACAATTTTAAAATGTTACATGACCACAAGTGAGATTTCTTCAGGCAATAAAATTGAACCATATGATGCTGCTCCTTTTGAATAGGGATAGTGACTAGACTTTGTGATTCTACTGGTTTAACTCCCTCTACCAATGCAGGTCAACATCTTCTGTACTACTCAGAATCTTAGAGAGTTGTCTAGTATATTGACAAGTCAAGTGATTTGTCAAGAGTTAGACAGCCAGTTCTCAAACAGTAGAACCAATAAATGAGATCATCTTCAAATTTCATTCTTTTCTTACCAAAATGTGTATGTTAAGAAAAAATATTTTGCATTAAAAGTCTCATGTTACCATTACTTACAAACTACTTTTGTAATTTCAGTGCAGGGAAATGGACTACTTTAGCATTTGGACAAAATTATATGTTTATATAGACAACAACAGATGTGAATTCTAAGTGGGAGCTGCCAATTCCTTCCTTCTGTATGTGAATGGGCAAAGTCAAATTAAAGCATTAAGAAAGTGACAACTCCTCTTAAAAACTGATTTTTTTTAAAAAAAAATCAAAATAGGCAATTTATTTCCTCTGCAGGGCAATTGGCCTCATCCTATTATGGGTTGTATTGTAATGGTACTGGCTTTCCTTCAACCAGTGATTGCTCTCTTCCGACCTCCACCTCAACATAAAAGGTAAATATCCTTTAAAATATCCTTCAAAATAAGAGTTATTCAATTCACTACTAACCAATGGCCCAGATACCCTTGAAATCCACTGATATTAATTATAATGAGAGTTAGGACTTCAGTAAGTGAAGTGTAAGTGAAAAGTACAAAAAACAGTAGACATAGAATGACTAGGTAGAGTGGAGTATAGTGGGCAATTTTGGAATCACATGAAGTGCTTTTAGAATTTTGCATGACCTCATATAATCATAAAATATAAAAGTTAGAAAGTACTGCAGACACCTAGACTAACCCAGACCTAAGTAAAATTCCCTTCTGTGACATCTCTAAAAAGTTTTTGTCAACCTTTCTTTGGCTTCAATGAAAGGAGAAACACTAGGCAGCCTATTCTACTTTTAGATATGTCCAATTGTTAGAATTTTTTTTCTAGATTGAGCCTAAAACTGCCTCTTTGACTTCCACATGTTACTGTTCCTAGTTCTGCTCTCTATAGTCAAGCCAAATCATTCCGTGTGATGGTCCTTCAAATACTCAAAATGGCTTATCCAGTTTTCCCTGTAGAAAGTTTTCTCTTTTCCATACTATACATCCTTATTTCCTTCAACTAATCTTCATTTGGATTAGATTCTAATACTTTTCTCTATCATGGTCATCTTCCTCTAGATACATTTTAGTTTGTCAATATCCTTCCTAAAATATGGTTTCCAAGTTCAGGATTCAAGATATGGCCTAATCAAGGCACAGTAGAATATACCCAACAGGACTTCTCTTATTTCAGACATAATTACTATTTTCTAAGGTCCCATCTCTTCATATTTCAATCTACTAATGCAGCCTAAGCTTACAATAGCTTTTCTGACTAACAACCTTTATCTGTGTAATTTTTTTAACTTATGTATAAAAAGTTATTAAATTTATTCTTACCCAGTTTCACACCTTAGATTAAGCTCATTGTTCTAGACTATAGAGATATTTTTGGATTCTGATTTTGTCATCCAACATCAATCAACCAATAACATTTATTAAATGCCTACTATGTTCTAGGAACTGTGCTAAGTGCTCTGGATACAAAAAAAAAAAAAGCAAAAGATAGTCCCTTCCTTCAAGGAGTTTACAATCTACTGGGGAAGACAACATGCAAATGAAAACATATAAAACAAGCTATATACAGGATAAATAGGAAATGATTAACAGAGGAAAGGCACTGGAGTTAAGAGGGGTTGGGAAAGGCTTCCTATAGAAGAAACTCTTTTGATTGAAGTTATAAGAATAAAGATTTCCAAAATGTGGAAATAGAACCAATAAAAAATGAAGCCTAGATTTGGTTGTGTACCTCTTTGTTTCCAGTAAAAATAGCCACAGATAATTTCACTGACTTCCTTGTCTATCTAGCATCAAAGTGAAATTCAGAAATTTTTAATAAAAATGCTATTAAAAGTAAAATGTGAACCTTGTATTATCTTTATTGTTTCTATAGGAGAATTATCTTTAATTGGTTCCATGCTCTAAATGGTTTTGTATTAAGGATTTTATCAGGTAACTACTTCAACTTCTTTGTATGTGTAAATGCTTTTTGAATTCCTGGATATTCTGAAGCTATTAACCTGAAATGATTTTTGATGTTTAGATATTAAATTAACATGTCATTATATAATATAAATTTTCATTTGAGTGTCATTGGAAAAGTTTCAATTTCTAGGTTACAGATACATACATTTTATTATAAAGCATGGTATAAATTTCTTTTTCCCCCACAAGCAGACAATGAATTCCTTCTGGTCTTTTTGCTAGCTAACACAAGAGAAAAACATTAGGTGTACCTGAAGAGCTTTTGCACTACTAGTGGCTTGATATTTTACAAGTTACCTCTTCAACAAGCATTGAACCAGTTAAAAAAGCAAAGTTTCCCAAAGAATGAGCTACTTTTGACCTCCAAAAGAAAAGGCGTGATCTGTTTTAGAGCCAGAGTCAATTTTAAAAGTACTTTGTTTAACATGAAAAGACTGTAAACGATGAAGAAAAAATGAATATTTAATATTAAGACAATCAGATGAGACAAGGAATTTTAATTTCAAATTCATAGATGCTTAGAAAATTCTTTGTTGGTTATCTTTTTTTTGATATAAAAGTTGTCACCCTAAAGTGAGGGGTCAGGTTGTTCTGATTTATTTGTATGCCATCTTAGAAAATAGAAAATAGAAGTATAAAAGTAGAAGTACTCTTACTTTTTTTACTCAAGGGATGGAAAAGGAAGCAAAAATTCAGAATTATTTATTTCTATATAGATTTCTTCACAGCTTATAACTTAACTTGTATTTAGTCCATCTTCAGTAGATATTTATTGAGCATTTATTAAATGTCAGATTCTGTGCAAGGTAGTTTACCACAGAGAAAGACAATAATGACTAGCATTTATATAATAGATGGCATTTATATAGTACTTTAAGGTTTGCAAAACACTTTATAAATATGATTTCATTTTATCCTCACAACAACCCTGGGAGGTAGGTGCTATTACTATAACCCATTTTACAGAAGAGGAAATTGAGACACAGAGAGGTTAATTGTATTGCCCAGGATCATACAATTACCAAGTGTCTGAAGACAGATTTTTACTCAGGTCTTCCTGTCTCCAAGTCTAACTTTATCTACTGCATCACTTAGCTTCCCCATTTTGATTTCAACAATGAATAAATCAAAATAGTTTAACACATCTAGTGGTTTTCATTTTCAATATTTTGTAACTGGACTGCAAAAAAAAAAAAAAAGCCTAACCCTGCCTGAATAATTTTGTGTAAAGTCAAAAAAGACTATTATTTACCTTGGTCAATATTTCCCTTTCTTTTTAGTTGTTACTATACTTCTAGGATTGAAGAGTATTGATGCATCTCCTAATGAATGGATAGGAAAAGTGATGGGAGGACTAATTGGCTGGGAAATATTAAGAGATGTGCTGTTCTATGCAAATATTTATTTTTGGAGGAAAGGTAAGGATCAGCTTAAACTACTTCAGAAGCAACAAAATTCACTTGCTTGGAAAAATTATTCACCTCTATTTTCATTCATTTTAATGGTTCTGTTTTTCAGATGGTGAAGAAAACCCAAAAGGAAAGGTAAAATCTTTGCTTTTGAAGCAACACTGATTTTTCTTATACAAGCTCCTCTGGGGTTATCCAGTCCAACTTTAAGATATCTGGTCAATAAATATATCCCAGCTCCAGCAATTTGAAATTTATGTCATTTAGATATAAGGCTGGAGTTTACCATTTGGTTGCAGGTGCAATGGAGAATTGAAGGAAGAAAAGAGGTCACTAAGAAATTATACCGTAAATAAGAAAACAAACTAGTTTAAAGAAACCATTTGTAGTATCAATCAGTAAGCATTTATAAAGTCCCTACTATGTGACAGACACTATGCTAAAGTGTAGGTACAAAGGCAAAAGACAAATAGTCCCTGACTTCAAAGAGCTTCTGTTCTAACTGGGGCAGACATGTATGCACACAGGGATACAGAGAACAAAAAACCAAACAACCATGGGGGTGAGGGGAAAACACTAGTAGTTGGTGGCAGTTGTAGGAAGGGTACCAGGAAAGGCATCAGGTAGGACAAAAATGTTCAACACAAAGCCCAAAACACTCCTGAGTGCAGCCAGAACCAAATGTAATTTGGGGAAAATGTAATTGGTAAATACTTAACAAAATAAATTAAAATATAAGGTAGTATTACATTTTAAAACTAAGTCATTATGTGGCCCACAGGGATCCTTATGTACAGAATAGTGCCCCCATTTCTATTTGAGTTTGACACCAGTGATACAGAAGATTGAGGTCAGGCTGAGTCTTGCAGGAAACCAAGAATTGTAACAGGGCAACTAGGTGACATAGTAGATACAGCAGTGGGCCTGGAGTCAGGAAGACCTGAGTTCAAATATTGCCTCTGACATTCACTAGTGTGACTCTGGGTAAGTCACTTAACTGTTTGCCTCAGTTTTCTCAACTATAAAATAAGTTAGAGAAGGAAATGGCAAATTACTCCAGTATCTTTGCCAAGGACACCCCAAATGGGGTCATGAAGAGTTGAATACTACTGAAAACAACTGAACAACAACAAGAATCCTTAGAGGGGGAGTGTTTTTTAAGTGTGGGAAACAGTGCATGAGAGGAACAGCAAGTAGAGCCATTAGCCAAACTATAGAGTGTGTGGAGAGGTAATGTAGTCCAGTCTTCACCTGAAGAAAGATCCCTTACACAACATACCTACCAAATGGTACCATCCAGTCCTTTCTCAAAGTGTTCCAAAGACAGAGGAGCCACTAGCTCCAATTAAGTCCAGTCTACGTTGGTACATCTCTAATTATTAGGAAGGTTGTCTTTACAGAGAAGCTAAATCTGCTTCTTCATCTTCTATCCATTGCTTCTAGTTGTGTCCCATCAAAGAGAGAGATTAATCCTTCATACATATGGCAGTTCTTCCCAACTTTGAAAAAGTTAGCAAGGGGCAATTTGCCCTCTCAAAATCATAAAATTCATAAAGCATTGGCCTCAAAAGGACCTTGGGGTCATCAAATTCAACTGCCTCTGTTTTTAATTTTCTTTTTAAAGAAATATTTTATTGATACTCTTAATTTGAATTCCATTACTTCCCCATTCCTTATATACTTTGCATATACTTCTTTACTTGTGGTCTCACCCATTAAATTGTGAATTCCTTGAGGGCAGGGACTACCTTTCTGCCTTTTTTTGTATCCTTAGTGCTTAGCACAGTGCCTGGCACATAGTAGGTGCTTATTAAATGTTGGTTGACTGATTTCCTTATTTCAAAAAAACAAAAAGGACAGTTCAGCAAAACATAGTCCATATCTGAAAATATCTTATTTTGTACCTGCCTTTATAAAAGATATGGGAATCACATTTCACCATCAAGCCTCTGAAATCATGACTGGGCAGTCATTCCATGACCAAGCCATTCATTTTACAGATATGGAAAATGAGCCTTTGGGAGATTGTGACTTGCATAAGTCATGAGTAGGAACCTCAAATTCTGCCGTGGAAGTGGGAGGATTTGGGTGGGGATGATCCTAAGTATGCTGGGGGGAGGGCAGAGTACAGGTTTGTATACACATGCTTGGTCCAGTGCCATCGCCCCACCTCTCATCCCCTGAGGTGCCTTCAGAGTGTTAGGGTTAAACACTGAAACATCTGGTAGCATGGCCCTAATAAGAAAGAACAATTAGCCAATTTATGGCTTTTATCCTTATAAAATACTCCACTTCCCTAAACTGAATTAAGTTGTCTAGGGGTAAATTTGAGATCTGAACTGGGATTCTCTGAATTTAAATCTTTATCATATGGGACACATTCATATTCTATAAATTTTAGTCATTAATAGTTATTTTAGGTATCTTGGTTTCTTTTAATCATATGACTGAAAAAAATGACAGATCTGGGTTCAAATTGTGCCTCTGACACTTAAGTCTCAGGTGAATGAAATAGGTTGAAACCTATAGAGGAAGTTCTCATGCTGAGGTAACTATGCTCATGGACTATTCTATTATTTGCATATCACTGAAAAAGAAGTATATTTGTTTTATTCAAAGTCTTAAAACTTTGACTCTAAAACTGAAACTGTCCAATCTTTCTCCATTTAGTTAAATGGCTGTCAGAGTGGGCCTATACCTGTATGTTGCAAAAACGTTCTGATGTCTTTTGTTTTGTTTTTCAGGCAATTGGGGTTAAGTGACTTGCCCAGGGTCACACAGCTAGTAAGTGTCAAGTGTTTGGTCTGAGGCCGGATTTGAACTCAGGTACTCCTGACTTCAGGGCCGGTGCTCTGTCCACTGCGCCACCTAGCTGCCCCTGATGTCTTTTATCAGATGTCTATTTTAGTAGAATTTCTAAAGGCTTTTCATAGTATCATAGGATTTAGAGCTGGAAGAAACTTTAGAAACAATCTATCATCTTGGAAACTGATTTGCAAAGGCAATGTTTAACTGATTTTTTCTTGCCTTCTCAGATAAAAAATGAAAAAATACTGGTAATAGTTTCCCTGTGTGGAAACCTCATATTTGTGATAACCCTGCTTGTTGGAATTGGACGATCCTAGAGAAAGGACCTTCACCCATTTTTTATTAAATGAAGATTCTGAGAATCATTGTCATGTTGACGACATTTCCTACCTAATAAAAACTAGGAAAATAAACAGAGTTTGAACAGTTTCTAAGTCTTTCAAGTTTTGTTTTGTTTTGTTTTGTCTTCACAATATTGTTGTTATTATATAAGTTTTCTCCTGGTTCTCCTGCCATTTCTCTTTATTGTATTTTCTCCTTGCCATTTTTATTATAGTTGTCTTTCTGAAAATTTAAAACCATCCTGTTCCCTCCAGTACTCTTTCAAATTGGGTGTTTGTAATTTCTAATGGTTATTTCTATGTATAATTAGACCTTCATTTTTATGATTCAATCAATCATAAATGAATCAATCAAGCATTTATTAAGTGCCAAGCATGGTGCTGAGTGCTGGGGATACAAAGATAAAAGGTAAATAGCTCCTATCCTTGAGGGGTTTGCCTTCTTTCAGGGGAGACAATGTGTACACATGGTGGTAGATACAAAAGAAAAGGTAAGAGAAGGGCACAGTAGCAGCTATGGACAATAGAAAAGGCCTCATGTAAGAGAAGGTACTTGATTTTGGAACTATGTCCCTAGAATTATTAAACTGCTTGCCTATTTCCTCCACAATATGATTACTTGGTCTATACATCAAAGAGGTCAAAGAAAGGGGAAAAAGAACCCTGTGGACACAAATAGTTGTAGCCACTCATTTTGTGTTGGCAAAGAACTAAAAACTAAGGGGTATGTACCCATCAATTGGGGAATAGATGAACAAAATATGGTGTTGGATCATATGTGATGGAATATTGTTGGGGCTATAAAAATGATGAAGGGGATGATTTCTGAGAAACTTGGGAAGACTTACATGAACTGATGAAGAGTGAAGCAAGTAGAACCAGGAAAACAATTGGTACAATAGCAACAATATTCTAAAGACAAACTACTTTGAAAGACATAGAAACTCTGTTTGACACGATGACCAACCATGATTTGACAAGACTAATAATGAAGGATGCTACCTACCTCTTGACTCAGAGAGCAGATTGAAACTTTATATTTGTGTGCATACATATGTGTGTATACACATATATACATATATACATATGCATATATGTGTGTGCATATACATACATATATATGTGCATTGTATGTGTATTTGACATAATTTATGTGGGAATTTATTTTGCTTGACTATAGATGTTTGTAACAGGAGTTGTTTTTTTTTTTCCTTAAGGGGAGGAGAGAGAAGGGGAATTTTCACTGACTGAAAAAAAAAATAAAACTCAGTTTAAAAATTTAGAGACAAACAAGGAAATGTTTGCGCTGAGTCTTGAAAGAGACTAAGGATTCTAAGAAGCAGAGGGAAGGACACACTACATTTCAGGCATGGGAGTAGGGGTAGCCAGTGCTAAGGCAAGAAGACTAGGGATGGGGAGCTATGTGTGACGAACAGAAAGTAATAAGGCCATTTTGGCTGGGACCATAGAGGTCTTGGAGGAAAGTAATACATGGTAAGGCTGAAAAAAGATAGAATGGAATCAAGTTGTCAAGAGCTTTAGGTACCAAACAAAGTTGTTTGTTTAATCGTGGGAGTAATAGGGGTCACTGGAGTTTGATAAGACCTACGCCTTAGAAAAATCATTTTGGGTATTAAGTGGAAAATGGATTTAAATGAGGACAGACTTCAGGAAAAGAGATAAAATCAGATATCACAATATTCCAGGGTGGAGATAATGGGGTTGAGGCTCTGTTGTGTGGGGAGAAAGGTATGATGATGAGTAAAGATAGAACGAGATTTGACAAAAGACTGGAAGTGTGGATTGAGATTAAGTGATAGGGAATGACAAAGAGATTACAAAACTGGGAGACTAAAAAGACAGTCAGTGTCCTCAACAAAAATAAAAAAAGTTCAAAGGAGAGCTGGGTTTGGGGAAAACATGAGTTTTATTTTGAACATCTCAAATTTGAAATGCCTAGAAGAGAGAGGTATGTAGTCTGGGTAGTCTACATTTCTTTTCCCAGGAAGTTGTGTGGTATAGTGGAAAATATCTTAGATTTGGAAGTCAGAGGACTTAAATTCAAATCCCCTCCATGCCCCTTATTTTCTGGGTGACCTGGGGCAAGTTACTCCACAGCTCTGACCCTTAGTTTCTTAATCTGTAAAATGAGGAGGTTAGACTAGATGGTGCCTCAGGGACTCTTTCTAGCTTTAAATCCAGCACCTCACTCCAATGCCTCATTTTGGTGGGAAGACAACTCTAGTTCTTGAAGGCTGTGCCATTAGAGACAAGCTCAGGCAGATCCTACCAGGCTGGAAAGGTTTGGAGTGTGATCCTGGTAATGAATTCTGTGTGTATGGTCCAAGGATCAGCTTCACTAAGTCTGGAGAACTGTGAGTGAGTGAGTGACTTCCTCTATGCTGGCCAAAAGTGATAGTTTTTTTATTACAGCAACTTCCTAAAATCATCTGCTAAATTATAATGGGATTACAGTCAAAGTTAGTCAAGGGAGTGCACACACTGACTAAATCATAGATCCTTAAATACAGTTTTATGGAAGGATGGGTGGGGATAAGCATGCATAGCATAATGTAGCCCTGATGAGTGTTCATTTGCAATTAGCAAAGCCTATCTCATCATGAAAACCTGATGTAATTTAGATCATCCAGTTGTTTCTTTTTGACCATATCCATGGAACTAATGACTTTTATAATTCTCTTTCACCTAACATCAAGTTTTCATGAAGCCAGCTTCCTACTAAGTAGCTATCAATTCCACTTGGTTAAGTACAATGAATCTCCCAAGAATTCCAGTTGGCTGCAATGCTTGGAAATTATTTATGAAATATGAATAGGATTTGGTTGGATGGATATATATGGATATATAGACACGTGTAAATACATGTGCATTTATGTATACATATATAGAGAGAGAATAATTTATTACAGTAACAACATTGTAAAGACAAACAATCGTGAAAGCTATGAGAACTAGGATCAACATAACAACCTTCCTTAATTCCAGAGGACCAGTGATGCACTATGCTAGCACCCCCTGACAGAGAGGTGATGGATTTAGGCTACAGAATGACACATACACACACACACATCATAGTTTTTACAACTTTCAAAGTTGTATGGGTTTTTTATTATTATATAAGTTGTACATTTGGTTCTACTAGTTTCTCTTTTATCAGTTTACAAAATTTCTCAGAATTGTTCATTTTTATAATGTGGATGGTATAGAAAAAAATGTTTTTTCTGGCTCTGCTTACCACACTCTGCTTCAGTTTATAAGTCTTTTAGTCTCTCTTTGAAATCGTCTATTTCCTCATTTCTTTTTCCTAGAGAGACAGCAATGAATTAGTTAGCCAGGACCCCTAGGGGAAAAGGGTAGAGCCCCATTGATCTTCAATAAAAGTAACATATTTTTTTTAAAAACTTTATTGCTGTGTTTAAAAAAAATTACTTTTATTTCTGGATATACAGCTTTCACCCTGAAATTGAACCCTGACCAAAAAAAAAACTATTAAGCAAAAACAACCTAAACAGTAACCCCCTCCAATGATATGCAACATTCTGCTCTTGTAGTACTCTATCTCTACTGAGTGGAACATGAAAGGAGAAATGTTTCATTATCTGTGTCTCAGGACCATTATTAGGATTTCAATTACTCAGAGTCCAGTGTCCTTTTAGTGATCTTTTCCTTTACATTAGTATAGATACTGTATCTATTGTTCTTCTGTCTCCGCATAAGTTCATATAAATCTTCCCATGGACAATGGCATAAATCAAATCATTTCCTGCTATTTTTTGCTCTAGAACAAACTTGAATTGAAATGCTAAGTAAAATGTTCAATAAAGGGTGTATAACAGTTTAGGTACAATACCATCTGGGTAGAGTTCATAAAAATCTGGAGCACAATTATTTCTTTTGTCTTTACCTGACCCTTTAAAAAATAAACAAAAACTTGGAAGCAAGTCAATGGGCTACCACCCTTAAAGTCAAGTGTGCTTTGAATCCTGAGCTCCATGTCCTGAATAGCAAACAAAGTTTTATTTCTGGAAACTATGCAAGATGGTAACTTACAGCACTGGCCTGATGTAAGTAACTGGCTGTGGTGAACAGGATAGGGCAATGGACATGGAGTTAAAAAAGACTATGTTCAAATTCTGTCTCCAATACCAGCCACACAACCCTAGAGAATTGATTTAATTTCTCTGAACCTCAGTTTCCTCTTCTGTAAAATGGGTATAATAATAATATCTACTTCACAGGCTTGTTATAAAGTTTAAATGAGATAACACATATAAAGTGCTTTGCAAACCTTGAAGTACTATATCAATGCATGCTATATTGTTTTAGTTGAGAACAGTCTGGTAATTATCCCTCATCTACAGCAATATCTCCCTCACTGGCCTTCCACGCCCAAATGCTCACCAGTGTCTTTGGGTATAGGTATTGCAACCTGCTAATATGCAAGCCGTTTCAGAGAAACACATTAGACTTGTATTAATTTAGTGTCATTGACTTTATCTGAATCTTTCCAATCAACAGCTGCTAGTTGAGAGTAGGTTGTGAGTAGTTCTAGAGCATATAGCATTCCTCAGAGACAACAGGTGCAGGCACCTGAGGGCAGAAAATTAAATTTTGCTGAGAAGGTGGGGAAGAGCAGGTACAGAGAAGCCAAAGGCTAACTTTGCCCTTTGCCTATTTTTCAATTTTACTTCAAGCCAACCCTGAATTCCACAGAAAAGCCAATGCCACCAGGTGGCACTCTCCTGCCTGTAGGAGACAGGTTTAATCAAGTTGTTATCTAGGCTCGAATTGGACAACGGTGGTGTCAAACTCAAATAAAAATAGGGGCCACCAAATGGTATATAAGGATCCCCATGGGCTGCATATTGGCTTACTTTTAAAATGCAATATTATCTGTTTGATGCTATTTTTATTTTGTTAAATATTTCCCAATTTGGACTACACTGGGGAGTGTCATGGCTCATTGGCCGTGTGTTTGACGCCTCTGAATGCACACAATTCTTTCATTTCAAAGTACATAATCTGTTCCTTAACATATTCCAAGCAACA